AAAACCTTTAAAAAAATAAAAAAGGAACTAAATCAAGTTTTTTGGTCAATCTCGCATGAAGCTGAAAATTAGAAACAAAATTATATGTTGATTATAATCAAAACTCTAGATCAAATCATGTGATAAATGGGATTAAATCTAATAGGATTAATTTTTTCTTAATTAATAAAACCCTAATCGAATCTAGCATATTCGATCTATTCAATTAAGGCCTTAAAATTTTGATGAAAAAGGCCTATAAAGGGTACCCTAAATCACATAATAAAAAGGAAAAAAAGGTTTTGGCATGATAAAGTTTTCTTTTTGCTGATAGATTTTTGTAATTCTAGGGTATTTGAATATTTAACACGTATAACCACACTCCCAAATCAAAAATCTAATTTTGTGGACTAGAATCTACTATTTAAAAATACCTAAGTCAATCTTGAGACTTTTCTTTAAATGGGATAGATTCTGTCACGTGATCAATCATATCTAAACAAAGAAGATTGGTAGCAACTCCTAAAGTCTATATCTAGCAATAGGTATACGGATCTATATGTTATGACAATAAATAACATTAATTATAAACAATTAAATAAATAAATAATACTATCATAAATAACAATCACAATTGCTGTTGATCAGGTTTTATATTAAAATAAGAAAATAAAAAAAAAATTTTAGATCTTGAAAATAAAAACAGCTTTTGCTCAAATGGGTAGGTGTTTCTCCTTAGCTAACAAAAACAATGAAATCAAATGTTATAATCATACTTTTTCAAGAAATTTTCATCCACGATAAATGAAATGTCAAGGAAAGGATTGCCCATCACCAAGAGGATTCGTTCATAGGCCATTTTTTTGAGATTGTTAATAATAGTTTGGTGAAAGGAAAAGTGAGACAGAGAAAAAGAAAAAGAAGAAACAAAATGCGAGTATGAGATTTTTAGATGTTGGTTGTTTTGGAATTTTCTTTTTTTATCTTTAATTTTTTCTTCATGCTTTCTCTCTTCCCTCAATTGCCTTTGTAATCATTTTTAAATACAATGTTGATATGTATAGTAAATTGGAAAATATGGGATAACTCTTATTAATTGTATAGATAATATAAATTAAAGGATAAAAGAAAAAAAAAAGAATGGACCAGTAGGCCACTGGATAAAAAAGAGCTAACAACCTATCAACGTAAAATCTTCTACACAATAGCATCCAATGCTAAGTGTCGATTGGCACAACTTTTCCCATTAAATGCACCTTCATTGGGGTACTTAAAAATCCAAATATAGAGCTAGTAATTTGAAACACGATATAATAACACGATACAAAAATAATACACATAAAAGACATAGAAATAATACAATTTAAAATTTAAAAAAAATCATAAATAAATTTAATAAAATCAAAAAATTATATTTTATATTTTTGTAACAACACGAACTGTGATATATGATTTTTTTATAAAACACAATACGAATATAATATTTTATAAAACATAATAATACGAATTATCATATCTATCCAAATGCATCCTAAAAAAAAAAAAAACACTTAAACATCTAATCACACAATGGCGTAGCCACGTATTAAATTGGGACCCACTAACCTCGCTCAAATTATTGTGATTTTTTTTTTTTTGGTAATGGTTCCACTAAAAATATAATAAAAACATAAATTAAGAGATAAAAAAAATAAAAATGACATCCATTTTTATGACGATAATATTAATATTCAGGTTTAAAACAAGATGTTAAAAAGTTTTCATGTATAGATATAAATATAATCCATCACATATCATTTATAATTATTATAATTCAAAATTTTGTGGATTCTATGTAACTTTTATATGATGTATTTATAAATGATGAGCTCCTGAATAATTTTTTATTTGATTGGATAATTATAAAATTATAATAAAAAATTACAGGTAAAATGCTCACTATATAATAAGATGTTAATAAGTATCTATGATTAAAAATGTGTGTGTATATATATAACTATAAATGCTCTATATAAAAGTAAAATCATACATTTTATTTTATATAAATATTAATTTTTATTTCTTTTTATTCAAAAATATTTTTTTTACTCTATATATCTAAAGATATCTTTTATGAAGTAATATATAAATAATAAAAGCAAGAATCAAGTGATTCCTAACTTAATTTATAAATTTAAAGATGATTAAATCATAGATGTAATTGCATGAGATAATATCTTATAATATTTTTTATCAAATATACACTTTTTATATTTAAAACTGTTTATTTTCAAGCAAAGTTTTTAAGAATATAATGCAAAAACTATTTATGTTATGTATTTATATAACATAAATTAGCATATGATTATTATCCTACTAAATTTTTTCTGGCTATGCACTTGAGAAAATTGCTTACTGCTCTTTCCACGATGAAAATTTTGACACATGAATAAGAACGTTTATTCATTCATAATGGTTTAAGGTTTATTATTATAATTACCAATAGATCTCATTATAATATACACAGATAGAGAGAGAAGTGATTCACTTATATTATTGTACGCCTTATATTTTTTGGACCATTTGATCAAAATTATTAAATTTAAAAATATTATTTTGATTCAAATAAGTGATAAATTTAATTTTGACATAAGGTCAAAAAAACTACAAAATATTATATCAATGTAAGTGAATCCTTACAAAAAATTATATATATATATATATGTATGTATGTATATGTTAGTTCACTCATCTATTAATGTGTTAAAAGAATAAATAAAATATATTTACACAAACTAAAAATAAAAATAAGTAAATAGTATCGGTGATCCATAAACTTTGGATCGCATATCATTTTGGTTCCTATACTTTCAAATGCCAATCGTTGGTCTTCAAACTTTCAATGTTATAATGAAATAATAGTTATTTCATCAATAATTACGTTAAGTATGATCTTAAATATTAGTTGATCATACGTGTCTACATATATGACAGACAAGTAGATGCTGATTTGAATATTATTAATTGAGAAGGGATTAATTTATATTAATATAAAAATGAAAATGATTTATATTTTTTTAATCATTAATTTTAATAAATCTAACGGATAAGAGAAATAAAACAAAAAGAGAAAAAATAATGTGATCTCAACCTTTGAATCTATTGAATTTAACTATTAAAAAAAATACTAAACTTTTTAAGTTTACACCGATGCAAGTTGATGCATCTTCATATAAATTTATTTGACATTTTGTATTCAATTTTAATTTTAAAAATCTATATTATATTTTTTTAAAATGAAAAATTATTAAAATAAAAATTTTAAGTTTTATTTATTTTACACTATAATATTCACTAGAATATATTAAAAACCTATATTATATTCATTTTTTTTAAAAACAACTTATTAAAAATAGAAAATTTTGAAATTTTTTAATTTTAAATTAAAAATCTAGACAAAATATAAAAAATATTGTATCTAAAATTAAAAATATAAAATTCTTAAAGAATAGAAAATTTAAAAACTTATTTATTTAAATTAGAATATTTGTAAATATTTTAAAAATCTATATTATGTTTAAAAATAAAAAATATATTTGAATAAAATATTTTAAATTAAAATATTTGATAAAATATATTCAAATTTTTTGCAAAAATAAAGTAATTTTTTTCGTTTTCTTTCTTCTTTTCTTTCAATTCAGTTTTCACATCAAACAATATTTAACGATAAAAATTATTTCATAAATTGACAAAATGACCAATGTGTTGTGATTTTTAATTAGCAATTAAGGACTAATAAATTATTTTTTATATCTAATGACTACAATAATATGTATATCAAAATTTGAGAACCACGAATGCTAATTACTCCAAAAAAAGGAAAATAAATTACACAATTTTAAGGTAGAGTTATATTAAGAATGGAAAATTTTAAAACAATTGAAATTTAGATTAAATCAAGCATTAACCCGGATTAATTAAAGTTTAAAATATACCAAATTTGCATGGCATTTACTGGAATTGCAAGGCCTCGTCTCTCACTTTCCTCCTCTTTAATTTCCAATTGAAATTAATTTTCTTTTCATTGTTTTTATAGTCCATTTACATTAATTAATTGATAATTAATCACTTTAATCCAATAAAAATTAATTTGTTATATTGGTTGGGCTTAATTTGGATTAAACTTGCCTAAAAGTCAATTATTTATCTATGCACATCCGAAAATTTGTCCAATATTTAAAAGGATTTAAATAAAAATATTATACCAGATAAACATGTTCGAGAAAAAAAAAAAAAAGAGGCTTGTTTCCAGAAGAAATCCATTTTCCATTCACATGTTTGGTCAAGTCTGACCCGGCTCATCAAACTCGAATTATATAAAATATATTATTTGTTATATTTATATATTGATTTCTTTGTCCTTTAAATTATATCTTGTTTGCGCGTCTTTATTTGTCCCAAAAAATATTGTATTGTTTGAAAGTTTATTAAAATAATCTTGGTTAATACTCTTTAATTACAATTATCCATTTTTTTCATTTTTCAAACTACAGGTAATTCAAGAAATTTTTTCTAATCGATAAATGTCTAATTCAACTTAAATTTCCTTAAATGTGTAAAATCAAATTAAGACATATATATATATATGCAACAGATGGAATATATAATTTATATTATATAAAAGATAAATATATAATATTACAATGTAAACATTGAAAATATGTTAAATTATTTATATTTTAAACTTAATAAAAGAAATACTGGATATTAAATAAAAGAAATATTATATGCCTTTTACTTTTTGTAGAAAAAAAATAATTTTGGCCGCCTTAAATACATTTGAATTATGCCATTTCGTAATTTGGATGAGTATAGACAGAATTTGAAACCCAATTTATGAATTCGAGCATGATCAGGAATAGACAAACATATAAGGCATTGATATCTATCAAACTTGGATTAAGTATATCAAATGATTGTACATAAAGAAATAGATAAATGAAAATTAATTTAATAATGAATAATATCAATTAAAGAAAAAACTGATTTTTATAATAAGATTTCAATGTTAAAGCCCAAATAAAATCCATTGGGCAAGAGAAATCGAAGCCCAATAAAAAACATGTTAATAACCCATGCAAGTTTCGAACCTGCGACTTTCGCGTTATTACCACGACACTCTAACCGCTAATAAGCCATCAATTTTTATATAAGTAGCTATATTATTTAATTTAAAAAATGGCTGATGTCGGGCTGACATTGTCGGGCTGATGGGAGACTAATGGTGATGTGACAGAAGTAACAAAGAATGAACAAGGTAAGCGAAGTTGCAGGCTTTGGAGTTGGCACTTTGTTAGTATGTGCTACAATTGCTGCCCCCAAAGTTGATGCTTTCATTTCTGCATCAGGTGAACTTTTCAAAACCCATTTTTGTTCTCTTCCATGTTCTAAACTTTTTGGAGTTTCTAAGTAAAACCCAGATTGTAAAAGGTCTTAAAACATTCAAAAGTTAATATTTTTGTTATTGGGTTTGAGTAAAAGTTGGTGTTTTGATCGTTAGTTTTGTTCGTGAATTGTGAGTTGTAGCTCCTTCAATTGTTGTGTTGAGAATTCTTGAGAACTTGTAGATTTTGATGTTTTACCATTAGTCTTTCTTGTTCTGTTGAGTGTTGCTCACTTTGTTGGTTTACAATTGGATGTCTTATGGGAATGCTATAATTGTGCCGCAATTCAATTTATGGTTGCAATGTCTTTTGGGTTCCCAGGATAAAGTTTAATTGTGGGGTTTTTATGACTTTTATGAAATGGTTGATATATCTTTATGCTCTGATATCTTTCATGGCTCTATCTCAAAAGGATGAACTTTCCCACATAGAATTATGAAAAAGATACATCCTCAGCCAGATAATTCTGGTGGCATAAGCAATTCTAAATAGAAAATGGCATCTGTGTGGAGGTGTTTACCTGTGTCTTTTATTGCATGTTATACTGGCAAAAAAGTTACCCCCAAGTACTAAACTAAATTTAAACAAAACCCTTTAGGAAACCTCAATTTGGCTTCCCTCTTCCTGGTGTAGGTATCTTGCTACATTACTTGTGGTTCACTTTTTGTTAGGAAATTATCAGATGCCTAGATTGGACTGCACGAAAAAGTTGCATAATACTAGCAAGTAAGATAAAGGAATAAAGTTATAGAATCAGTGTCTATGGCTGGTCCAAGTGAATGCCCTAAATCCATTGCTTTCCAAACTAAGTTGCAGATCAACATTTTGAACTTCAGTCTTCGTGTGAAAGAATGCAACCAAGCATTATTTCTTTTAAGTGATGAATCTTTTTTTCATTGCCCCAATTTGGGCACTCATGTACTTGAGTTTTGAGGGAGACCTGATCTGTTGGTTCCCCTGCTTTTAATTATAAAAGGGAAAAAAGGAAAAACCCAAAATGATTGATAATTATAATATATAGATTAACAAGACAACATAATTATGTAAATTGAATATCTATTTACTGTATTTAAGCTAAGCAGTATGTCTTATCTATGTCTATATCATGAGATTCCCAATTCAACTTGGCTAGAAAAATGAAAATTGCCCCAATATGCTTCACCTTAACTGCCTTAATCTATATAGTTAGAATCATTTTGAATAAGTTGCACATGCTGATATGCAACTTCTTAAACTTGCAGTTCTATGGGCTTGTGCAAGAGATGCGGTGATCTAAGGATGATAGCATGCTCAAGATGCAGAGGAACTGGATTAACCAAAGAAAATGGACCATTCAGTTTTAACCTTATTGATGATTTTATATCAGTCCTTTGCAAGTGCTGAATTGAAGGTAAAATCTATTGGATGTACAAAATGTCAATCTAGAGGTCACTTCAGCTGTCCTGATTGCTCTAATATACCTAAAGTTTGATTCTCAATCATGCTATTGAAGACATATCTTCTCTTATGCTCATGCTTAATATATGATCATGAGCTGTCTTTCTGTAGCCATTTTAAAACCTTTTGTCTTAATACACTGGATTTTGTAAATACTCTTGTAGATGGAGATTTCTATTTATACTTATTTCATTTATCAGTGTCAATGTTATAATGGATGTGTTATAAATCCTGTCTCTTCCCACCATTGTACTTAAAACCTTTTTGCCTGAATGCGCTGGATTTGATTATTGCACTTATCGTTGTAGATTTGTGAGAGTGGCTTCTGTTTATATGTGTTTCGTTATCCATCCCAAAGTTATAATGGATGTCCTATGAATCCTGGTTGTTTAGGTTTGTGTCAAACAAGGAAAGGATGTATAGTTGCGTTCAAGTCCAAAATAGGAAGCTGGGTAATTATTCCTTTTTGCCTAATGCCCACTCCATTCTGCAACCACTAGACATTGATAATTAACCATTTTCTGCTAAAGATATCTCCATGAAGAGTACTATTTTCCTCCTTTGCTACATTACATATGCTCACCATTTCAAAGCAGACTATGACTAGGTCAACATCACAATCTTAGAAACTTGAAATTCTTAATCGGGCAAATAGGAAAGTAATGTCATGCATTCTGCTCACTATTTGTACTCTTTTGAAGCCCTTTTTTGGTAGATATGGAGACTGAGTGATCCTTGTGTTGCATAATGGGAGCTAGCCCTCTTCAATCCCATAAATCCCACCCAAGATTCAAATTGACTCAAATTTGAATTTCCTGTTCTAATAATTCTTGGATACACTCTTTTGAAACTGAAGAGGCTCATGGATCAAACCACAGGGCACTTGTTGCTTTAAATACTGTTTAAGCTCTTTTTCTAGAAAGAAGTCAATGTAGTCTGTTTTCCCTGAATAAGCAAGGAACAAAAGTGGGTTTTCTTTGCTCATCCGGGTACATATGTGATAATGTGAGCATATTCGCAACTCTTGTAACATATGGTTAAGTTGCTTCTTTAGCCAAAAAATTCTGTATGATGGCAACACCAAAAAATGACTGTTTATATTATGTGCAGAAAACTTGTGGCATGCTTCAAATATAATCATTACTAGCCCCATATCTCTCTAACAGCTGAAAAACTACTTATCTAGAAGCCTCCAGATATATGCTTATGACATGATTATTATCCACTTTCCAGCAAGCTTTTCCATCACAAATTTTTAGCCTTTCTTAGGTTGAATTCGATTCTGATCGCATCCCAAAATTAATGGAACACTGTTGAAGAAGTGACAGGGCACCACGTACCTCATTCATCTGTATTTTAGAAGCTTTCCAGTGATGCTGTGGCCATGTTTGACTGAATTCTCCCAATGTGATGATCATAGCATGGTTGAGTGGCTATGCATATCTACCACTATCAAAGGTATGGTCATTGCTTTCGTTGCTTTCATTAGGATCCCTCCGATGTTGACCTACAACTATATGAAAACCTCTTGTTATTGTCTTATCAAATTTTCATCATTTACCCTTTTAATTCTTGTTACTGTCTGCTAATAGTCGGCGAAGAAAAATCATGGTTAATGAGTGTACATCCATGGTTAATTCCTTATTTGGGGTTGTTTGAATGATATGATTTATAGATAATCTTGCTTTTACAGTATATTGTTGAATGCATTGAATCTTTTCAATTCTAATCACTGTTACAAACCTCTTCAATTCATCCCATCTTGAAAATAATGATTTTGATCTTCAACAACTTTACTTTTTTAGCATTTGCAAATCCCATCCGCAAATAGCAACCAGATTCTGCAAAAAGTTGGATGAACTAAAAGAGGACAAAGTGGAATTGACAATTCCAATTTTGGCATTGTGTAATTGGGATATCTTTCTCCACTTTCATTAGTGGATCTTTTCATTGGTGATATTCTCTCATTGGGTGACCATAGCTTCAACAAAAAGGTTTACATTCCCTCTCTTTAATGTGCTTTTCTATGCTGTAAATGCTTGCTTTTGGTTGGAGAAGTATCAAACAAATATGATTCTAACTTAGAGACCAAGTATTACCAAATAAAGATTTGTCATTCAACTTTCTATTTACAATATATTTTCATGATCAACCACTTCCTATTTGGGTAGAGTTTGGTGAAATTGAACGCTCTGTTGAACGTTTGAACATCATTATTTCTGTACATCTGTGTTGTTAACAATGAGCACTCTTTTCCTTTTTTGTACATAAAAATTTTGATGTACTTCACAACCAGTAAATCCGTCATTTGCCTCAGAATTCAAACAATCTTCAAGCTACATTCTCTTACCTTTGAGGTATAATTTTATATGAAACTCCCAAAATTTCTCAAAACATGCAACTTTTGGAATCGTATAAATTGTATTGCCCATAATTGCTTATGTAGCAAGATACAAAGTGAGGACCATGAAAGTCCCAAGTTGAACTTTCCTAATCAACGTACCATCAACTACTTAAAGAAGAAAAGAGATAAGCGTGTAATCAATAATGTTTAAAAAGAAAATAACATAACAGGATCAAAATCCTAAGTTACTATTGTGGCAATTATGGCATTAAACAAAAATAGTTATTAAAAATAATTATTATATTGACAGTTGACAATAATTAAATTTGCTTTTCATAATTATATATAATTTTTGGAGAGAAACATTGTAAGAGTTAATTTTAAGACTTGAATATTGATAGTCCAATTAAGATTGGCAGATTGATTGTAAGAGTATCCCATTAGATTAATAAAAATTATTTTTTTTGTTTATTTATTGTTTTATCGTTTTATAGAATACCTAAAATCTTATACAATTCGAATGCATTTATTGATTTTAAAAAAATTCAAACCTATTACATAATGTACGTATCATTTAATTAATTAAATACTCAAATACATAAATATGAAAATAAGATGGCAATAGATCGAAATATGATAAATGTTAAAATGAAAGGAAAAAACCAATTAGGTATGGATTCTTTTACCATCTTTAAGTATGAATATACAAAATTTTAAAATACAAAAAAAAAAAATTGATTATTTCTTTTTGTGGATTTGGCTACTAAAAAAATTTGTGGCCTCAATTTGTGCTAATGAAATATATCAATTCAGTTGTCATGAACAAGACCACAAACATGAAGTGAACCATTAGTTAGTGGCAATGCAACCTAACCAAAACCAACCATGACCATGAATGTTTTATAATCTTACGAATTGAAAAAGAAACTGTCATTTTTGGTTTGCAAACAAAAATAAAAGTCTTCATTGCCTCTCTTTTTTAATGGAGTATGACAGCATCATCATGTCACATCATAATACATGATAGCTACTCTTCATATGATCAATTCATAATACATCACATGCATGTACACTTTTTTCAATTTTAATTTCATGAGAAAAAATAATTGTTTCTTTTTTCTTTTATAAGTTTGATTTGGTGCTGTCAAATAGTAGAAATCAAGTCATTTTGAGAGCACTCGTATATGTAATTAATACATGCATAAATAAATTAGGTTTTGAAAGATTAATGTAACTTTCTGGCAAAAAAAAAAAAGAGTCAACATACCTAATTATGATATTAAATATTCAATAAAATATAACTTCCAGTTATTAAAACTAGTTAGTAATTTTAACTTAAATATCTATGTTCAATTTTTGAAAACAAGCGATTTTTTTTTCATATATATGAGAGTTTATTAGGTTTGAGTTACATAAAAGAGGTATCTAATCTATCTAATAAAACCTATCCTCTGTCCTTATAATTTAAAAAAAAAAAAATCTTTGGCACTACCTAATGGGATGTCCTTACAGGGAAAGATGAGATTAATTATGAGTAATTAGATCATCCAATTATGGATATGGGAACGTATATGTAAATGACAGTCTAATAACTCACCAAAAACATTAGGATTTATTTAAATAAATAATGAGATTAATTTTGATAAAATTAAAAATAAAAATATCGGTAAATTATTTTAACAGTGAGATACAATGCAACAATGAAATTAGATATTATAGTAACAAAATTAAAAACATTGTTATGATATGTTTGAATATATACAAATGCAATAATGACAGTGAAGTCTAATTATAAAAAAAAATAATCATTAAGGATATTAAATTAAAATTTTTATATAATTAAATTTATGACATATTTGAGAAGTTAATAAACAATTTAAAACACTAAAATTATTTTTATATATCAAATACTATTTTTGTAAATAAATATTTGAAAAATATTTGTTTATATTTTAATGTTATTTAAATTTTAAAATATTAAAAATTTTATTCAATAAATAGTGATATATTATTTTATATTAAAATAATATATTTAAACTTCTGGATGATATCAACCGAATATCATCATGGGGCAATAAAATGCGTGACCAAATTTGAACTTTGAAAGTCGCTTTCCAAAATGATATTCGAATGTCCTAGACGTATTTTTAATTTCACGCATCACTTTTGGAAAAAAAAACAGTAAAATATTTGATGGAGAACAGTTGAATGCCCTAATCTTATTTTTAGCTTTGCCTGTCACTTTCCTGGAAGTTATTTGGCTGCCTGCAGGCCAATCGAAAGCCATATTTATTTTTAGTCAAAATGCATTTTTGGCATAAAACGATTTATATAAAGTTTTATAAGTGAAATTAGTAAAATTTTTTTATTAAAAATAAATAAAAAATTAAAATTGAAAATCAAAATTAAAAAATTTTATCACATAAATTAATTTTACAAAACTTGAAAAAATTTTAATAACTTTTGATATATTTATTAAATAAATATTTTTAATAAAAATATTGACAAAATTTTTACCGTTAAATAAGTACCAATCAAATTTAATTATAAATAATATTTTTAATAATATATTTGATATTATTGATTTTAACATTGAACTCTATCAATATATCGATTTGAATTTTTTATTAAAATTTTTATTTATTCATTTTTAAGAAAAAAAAACTTTATGAAAATTTCATTTAAATTTTGTAATTTTTAGCACGGCTAAAATGGCTTAATTGAAGATCCAATGGTCCACCAGACCTTCCCCCTCCAATAAGAAAAACTGATTGCAGCATGGTGGATTTCTCCACCATGTGAAATTCACCATAACACACCATGTGATCCAAACGAATTATCATGATAAAAATCGACCAGAAATTTCCCAACTACGTAATGTCGTGGTTCTGTTTGAATCCAAGAGAACTTAAAAAACACACACATGGACACCCAATTTGTACCAATATATTTGATCATTCTTAAATAAATTACTAATTATTTTTTAGTAATTACTCATTGTTTTCATTCTTTTTATCAGAATCTAATTGTATAAATGTCAAATATAGTTCGTTCAAAAGTCTAAAGTTTTTGAGAATTGATTACTCAATTATCTCTTTGATTAGTTTTTTTATAATTCGGCTGCAAGATATGCTAACCTAAAATTGTATTGAAACCTCAATCTTTTTTTTTTTTAATAGTTGAGATTGGCAAAATTTGAACAGTTCATCAAAATTATAAGTGTGGTATTCTATTAATATTATCACATAGCTATTTATCGACCAAAATCATTATTAAGGACAAGGATGACAACTAATTATGATTATGCTTTGTCCAAATTTGAGGACAGGCTTGTCCTAATGCATAGAGATCACTAAATCTCAACAATTTTCCGTTCCTCTATTGAATAAAATCTCCTTTAATCATCTGTTTTTTTTATAGCAACTTGAAATCACTTTAATGTTGCCATATGCAAAAGTGAACTGAGGGGTTGGCTTAACCGGTAAGTCCATTCTTACATCCAGATAAATGTTCTTGGTTTAAATTTTGTTAATGATCTTTAATTAGTGTTAAACTCTAATAAATGATTACCAACACATGTTGGTTGAATGACAAAGAACTTGGTTTTTTTTAAGTAAAGTCTCGATTTCGAGTCTTATAAATAAAAAAAAATAGGCTTTTGAGAGCTTGACTCCTTTATGGGGTTTGATCTAACTCGATTTCAGATTAATCAGAACTTAAAGTAATTATCGGACACCGGAGGGTCCCAAACCAAAAGAAGAAACTCTAATAAATGATGTAATGAGACGAATTTGAAATTTAATCAATTGATTTATGTAATTATTTTTAAAAAATAATATATAATAGATCTGGAGTTCAAAATCTAACATTTACAATTACCAAATTACGAATTACTTTATATAAAAAGAATAATTTTTTGAAATATGCAAAAGCATCTTATCTTGATCTATGAGATTGAATAATCCATCCATGGTGGATTGTTATTAAAAAATAGGAAAAATATTAAAACATTGCGGTTGATTTCACCATACATATTCAAGAGGGATATATGCTGATCTGAGAGAAAGATTATTCTTAAGATACTTGATGAGGTTAAAGCATGTTCTCTCATGTTATTGCATTTCAGAACAAGTGGTTGGACAAAAGATCAAAAGAGTTAGCCACCATTCGCTAGGAATATTGAAGTCATCGATGGTTTTGGAACAAGAGCATTTAAGAGCTTTTAGTTTGTCGTAAATGGCGATACATGTCAAAATAACATACTAATAATTTTAATTTATGTTTACTTCTTTGTTTGCTTTCTTTTAAAAGCAAGAAAAAGCAAAGAAAAGAAGAATAAAAATTAACCATTGTTTTTAGTTCAAAGTATCATGCTATGAGGAAGGTTATAGCACCCTCACAACGCCCATCAAAAGATGATACCAGCTTGAATTTGTGTTATCCAAAAGCCTTAAAATTTTACCAAGTAGTTAGTTGTTGAAAATTATTCTCAATTGACTCTAATACTTTTAGCAGAAAATTGAGAAAATTCCCTCACCTCAAGAGTATGCAAGAAAAACTACTGTTTCACTTACAGAGGCTCCGTCGTCGGATTATTTAAAAAAACAAAATCAAAATTAAGATAGAAAGGAAGGAAAGAATGATTTTTTTTTTTGCAGGGAAAATTGATACTTTCAACTTTTCCCCAAAATATTTTTTGGAAATTTCGATTTTCAAGGAAAATTGATACTTTCAACTTTTCCTCAAAAACCCTTTTTTTGAAAATTTATTTCTAAGGAAAATTGATACTTTCAACTTTTCCCTAAAAATATTTTTTTGAAATTTATTTCTGAGGAAAATTGATACTTTCAACTTTTCCCCAAAAGTATTTTTTGGAAATTTATTTCTAAGGAAAATTGATACTTTCAACTTTTCCCTAAAAATATTTTTTTTTGGAACTTTTGATTTTTTTTATTTAAAGAAAAATAGAAAAATAAAAAAAATAAAAAAAGAAAAGTAAAACAAAACTAAAAATAAAATAAAGATAAAAAGAATATTAAATAAACCTAATCTAATAAATAAAAATAAACAAATAAACAAATAAAACAAATAAAATTCAAAAAAAAAAAAAAAAAAAAACCTGGAGCGACTCGGCTATCGGCGCGGCTCGGCTCGGCTCAAGGAAGAAAAACGGCTCGGGGGAGCGGCTTGGCGGCTTGGATCGGCTCGGCTCGGAGGGGGGCTGGCACGCGCGGGTCAGAATCGGGTCGACGCTCGGGTCGGGTCGGGTTACGGCAAAACGCGCGGATCCTCTGGGTTACTTAAGGCCAAAACGACGTCGTTTTGGGAGGGTATAAAAGGCACCTTCCTCCGTTTTTCGGCAGAACGCTCCCCCCTCTCTCTCTCTCTTCTTCCCTTTTTCTCTCCCTTCTCTCTAGAAAATGAAGAACACCGGTGCCGGATTCTGGAAAAATTCGCCGGAATCTGGAAATTTAGCCGGAATTTCGCCGGAAGTTCACCGGTTTCTGGGATTAGTCGCCGGTTTCTGGGATTCTTCGCCGGAAACTGGGCAGGTCGCCGGAAACTTCAAGGTTGGCCGGAGATTTCGCCGGAAAATTCAAGTTTCGCCGGAAAATTCAACCGAAAACTGGAATTTCCAGAAATTCCCAAAAAAAAAAATCGAAAAATCTTCAAAAAATTTCTTTTAGCTCCCAGAACACTCCTAAACCCTTTTTAGCCTCCTATACGCCTCCTTTACTCTCAAATCAGTAGCTTTGCTCACTGTTTTCTGTGTTTCTGAACTGTTCCAGGAGGTGCTTTATATAGGGATTGATCAGGAGTTTCTGATCAATCCCAATTCCTCCTTGGACGGAAATTCAATCTTTGAATCCCACTGGACTCTTCTGATTGAAATTCCTACTTCCAATGGGATTCTTCAGCCTTCATCTCAGCCCTCCAAAATTAAAATAAAAAAAAAACTAGATAATTAGAAAAGAAAATCAAAAATTAAAAATTAAAAATAATATCAGATAATTCGAGAAAAGAAAGATAGAATTAACAGATGATTAAAAAAAAATAATTAACAAATAAAATAAGATAAACCCAAAAATATATTAACAAAAAAAAATAATATAATATATAACTGTATAAATAAAATACAATAATAAATAAATAAAGATATACATAATAATAATAATAGAATACATAAAATACAAAGAAGAAAAAATATACAGGATGAAATGGGCCTTACCCATTTGAGTCAGGCCCAATTGATCTGGGTCCGAACCCAAATTGGTGTCTACAAAAGTCATCGATGGTTTTGGAACAAGAGCATTTAAGAGCTTTTAGTTTGTCGTAAATGGCGATACATGTCAAAATAACATACTAATAATTTTAATTTATTGTTTCCTTCTTTTGTTGCTTTCTTTTAAAAGCAAGAAAAAGCAAAGAAAAGAAGAATAAAATTAACCATTGTTTTTAGTTCAAAGTATCAATGCTATTGATGTACATACATTCATACATACATATACATATATACGATATATATGTGACCGAATAAGTACTATAATGTTGGTCTTTTTAGAATTTTAGACTCAACATTATTCTCATTCTTAAAGAAAAATACGTAGAAAATTTCAAAACTTGTTTAATATTTGACTTAAAATTTAATTAACAATTATCTAAAATTATCTTATTATCTGTTTTCAATGTTTGACAACTTATTAATTATTTATTGTTCATGATAATTTTTTTTTTATTAATAAAAGACAGTTATCTTTTTGAAATATCAATAACATGCATTACGCATAAAAAAAACATTCACCACTATTAGTTGCATGCTTATTTTGGCAAATTAATTTACCATTGAAGAACAAAATTTGAGGGTAAGGTTCTAATTGTTTCACGAAAAATATTTTTTGAAAAATAATTTTTGCATTTTTAAATATTTATTTGACAAAAAATTAATTAGTCAAGAAAAAATAAGAAAATTTTTTTTGTATATTATTTTATCGATTTGAAAGTGATAAGATATTTTCTGAAAAAAAATTTATTTATGAGTAAAATTATTCATCAATACTTTTCAGTATAATTTTATTTATAAATAATAATATATTTTATTAATAAATAATATAAAGAGTAATAAATAATTTTATTTTAAGTATTTTTTACATTAAATATTATTATTAAAATATAATTAATTTTTAATTTTAATAATTTTAATAATAAATAATTTCAATATACTTTAATAATATCATTTTTAATATTTTAATAATTATATTAATATTATTTGAAGAAAATTAAAAAATAATCAAATAATGAAAAATATTTTTTATTAATTTATCCAAATAACAAAAAATATCTTTCAATTCAAAAAATATAAATATTTTTTAAGAATTATTTTTTAAAAATCTTTTTTCGCAAATCAAACAGTTTTAAAATTAGAAAATTCATGACTCTTTGTAATTTTCCACCCGGGTCGGGACGGAAAAGTAAAATTAGTAAAAATAAAGACCTTAGCAATGATAGAGATTTGGAACCAACGAAAATCCGACACCTGTTTTAAGTTACTCGACGTTGCGATACGTCGGAAGACAACTAGAATTGATCGAATTAAAACAAAAGGAGCTTTTTAACCACGCTCTGACTGGGGCGTGATGTGTCTAAAGATCTACAAGCGTTAGCCCATTTTGACCAGTTAATTCTTAACTGTATATATAAATCGCTGAATTAGATGGGAAAACTTTTACTCAAAAAGGAGATTAAATTTGAGAAGTTTATTGAACAGAAATTATTTATAAAATATAAAAATTATTATGATAGTGGTGAAATATAAAATATAATTTTTATCTACATTTATAAAGTTTTAAAATTTTATATTTTTATATTATTTAGAGTTTATATTTATAAGAAATGGATGTTCACATAATGATTGAATAATTATAATATTATAATTAAAAAAAATTGTAGAGCTTTTTTAAGGGGTTAGAAAGAGTAGAAAGAGGAACCACTCTTACAAGGAACCAAATATTTCATGGAAATTTCTCTCGTTTTCTCTCTCTATCTCTCTCATATTATTTCTGCTTTTTGCTCTTGATGGGTGTCAAGAATCCTAACTTTTCTCTTTATTTTTCACAAATTTGGTTACATTTGGGACGTGAGGCCTGACTTAGCGAAAGAAAGATCAGCCATTCAACCAGCAGCTGCTTCCAAGAACAAAGAAAAAAAATATAATTTAACAAAAGAGGCAACAATTATATGCATAGAGAAATAGTGATAATCTGTACTTGTAGAGTATAGTTAGTATAAATATAGTAATGAAATAAAGGGAAGACAAAAAATAAAAAGGGTTTTTAAGCAGGAATATGGGGAGAGGAAGAGTAGAGTTGAAGAGGATAGAGAACAAGATAAACAGGCAAGTTACATTTGCGAAGAGAAGAAATGGGTTGCTCAAGAAAGCTTATGAATTGTCAGTTTTATGTGATGCTGAGGTTGCTCTTATCATTTTCTCCACCCGTGGCAAGCTCTATGAGTTTTGTAGCAGTGCTAGGTATCAAACCTTTTGCTCTTTCTTCCATTCTTTTCTTTTTTTTTTTTTTTGCCGTTTTGACATGTGAGATTTGCTAATTTGTTTTGCTTCGTTCTATTGATTTTCAAAATATTTTTTCTTTCAATTTATTTGATGCTTGTCTTCTTTGAGTACTTTCTTTTTATGAGGATTTAAGACCTTCTTTAGGCTACAATTTTCCTACTTTTTCTGGTTATGAACTTCTTTTAATTTTTTTCTGATTTTTTTGAGCTTAGGGTTTAGGTTTTTATTTTTTATTTTTGGTTTGATATAAGATCTGAATTGGATTTATGGTTTTCTTTTGTTTGTTTAGCTCTAATTAATTTTTTTGTGTAGTCATGATAATTTTGATTAGTTATCTACTTTTTAGACCTTGTCAATTTTTTTGGAGTTTCTTCTAATGATTAAGTTACAAATTTTCATCTTAAGCAACAAAATAAGAATCTTTATCCAATAAATGTGTATATATATATATATATATATATATAAACTTTTCTAGGTTTTCTTCTGAAGGCTTGTTCTAGAAATTGTTTACAAGTTCAGTAGATTTATTTTTTCAGCTCAAATGGCTTTAATTCATTGGCCAATTCTTTCCCCCTCCTGACAATGAATTTTTAGTTCTATTCATGAGCTCCATTTATCCAAAAGTCTGCCATTGCAATATTCTATACATGAATATCTTTTCAGGTTGGTGTAGAACTATCATACTTTTCATGGCAGATCTAGGTAAAACAGCAGGTTCTTCATTCTTACTGTTGTTTCTTTGTGAAAATTCCCCTATTTGCACTTTTTTCAATGAATCAAGTTCCATTTGCCAAAATTTCTGATATTTTCCTAATTAAATACATAAAAACCAGGTCATCGCCAAATATTCTTATTTTTTTACTAAAATATTGATTTCCTTTTCTAGGGATTTGTTTTATACAACATTTCAATACTCAGAGGTTGTTAGGGTGAAGATTTTGAAGTTTTAATAACAGTATATCTTCTTTGTCCTTCTTAATAGAGGTTTTCCAGGTTTTGCGAATTTATATTTTGCAATAATAGGAATTAGATTTCACCTTTGAATAAGGATTTCAAACTTATGGTTCCATTTATATGTCTTGACATATTAGTACAACTTTAAATCATTAAACATATATATGTTTGATTATGATTATTATTGTATCTTCATTAATTTTCTTGCAAAAAACACTATAATATATATGCATTGTTTAAGAAATCATATGAACAGAAGTTCTTTATAATGTTGTAACACCTTGGTAGTTGTTCAGTTAATTCTTTGTCAATTGAATTAAATTCTTTTATTAGTCGCTAATTGATTAGTCATGTATAAAATGGGTTAAATTTGTTTTAGTACAAGTATTTTCCAAAGAAGGTTTGAACACCGATAGATACAAATGTCATGTCCTCAGTAGGGTTACCCTTGCTTAATAGGCTGTCTTGTCTTGAAATGCCCACACGATAATTTCTCAATGGATAATCAGCAGCCTACCTAGTTTCAGGGTGTTTTTTTTTTTTTTTAATACTTTGATTGTTTGAATGTAGTTTTGGAAGCATAAATGTATTGGATGTGAAGTTGATTTCATGGTAAATATGCCTTGAATTCCTTTTTCTTGTTTACATTTTTTGGTGTTTTACTGTACTAATAGTAAAATAAAAAAAATTTAAAGAATTTAAAATTTAATTTAATTGATTCATAAAATTATTTTAAAAAATAACATTTATAAATTTAAAATTTCATATCAAGGAATCCACAATCTTTTTTTCTATTTTAAAATTACAAACTCAAAAAGCATTAACGGAATCAATAATTTTGACCAAGGACCACGTTACTAAAGTTGGATTCATGCCGATCATTACTTTATAGGTTCTCATGATTGAACATTGCCATGAGGTTTTTGGATAATATGCTGCATTTTATTATGTATTTTATTAATATTAAAAATCAAATTATGTATATAAGTATCAAATTACAATGATTAACAAAGTTTCAACATTGGTTTCTCCCTACTTGGGGCAATAAAATAATGTTCTAATGCCACTTAAGCCTTGGTTTGATAGTAAAAAAGAAACATCAAGGTGTGGTGGGATCCAAAGTCATGAAGAAAGTTTTGTGTTATTAGATTGATAAGAGATAAGAGATGATAGAAAAGGGTTTATTTTAAGCGGAGAGAAAATGCATACTACTTTTAACTTGGAAAGGAAATAGAAGATTTCATGAACTATATAGTATTGCCAAGTGATTGTATTGTTGTGGCTGACCTGCTTGATTTCAGTCTTTCATAATTCTCCTTCACTTCATGGAGATAAATGATTCCATTAATTTTTCAATTAGCTCAGAAGGTAATGGTGTGTTCTATGTCTGCATGCTTCATACGTTCCCAAACATGATTCGCTATTAGGATTTTAGATTTTAGCTCACAAATTGAAATACTTTTGTTATGATCATCCTATTTTTCAAGATTTACAAAAAACTAAACTTTGGACAACATTCACTTCATTTCTTTCTAAATAATTATATGTGAATGTGTCTACCCATGTGAACACGCACATACACGCATATCTGTCTGTGATACATTCTAATTAAAACTTGGTTTTCTGGATTGATCTGCTCCAATATTACGTGGCTAATTTCTATAACTTGAGTTTTTGTTACCTTTTCTAGCCTCTATAATATCAGTGGAGCATAACAAAATCTTATGCTCATAGCCAACAAAAGAAGTTGATTATTATCCAAGATGTAGTACTAATTAGCTCAGTGTGTACATGAACTTGAATATTTCGATGCAAAAATATTTAATTCTTCAATGTTCAATTTAGCTTCATGATAAATTTCTTCTCACTTTTGCCTTCCTCCCAGCATGCTCAAGACACTTGATAGATATCAAAAATGCAGTTATGGTGCAGTGGAAGTTAGCAAGCCAGCCAAGGAGCTTGAGGTGAGAATATGACCATAATTTTATCATTGCAAAATTTTGCTGTAACTGAATTTGAGAGCTTGGTATGTTCATAAACTGTTTGATAAATGTAACAACTATAGTCTTTTCCAATCTGTACCCATAGATAAAGACTTAATTGATAGTTTCTCATATTGTTAATCTTTGCTGTAGCAGAGCAGCTACCAGGAGTACCTAAAACTGAAAGCTAGATGTGAGGCCCTACAACGCACTCAAAGGTGATCAGTCTAACAACCATACTTAGCTTTGGATTTTTAGATTAACTTGATAGGCTATTTTTGCATTTATCTCTGTGTTTTGAACTGATTTTGTAAGTGAGATTGAGAAGATGTATGCCTTTGGAAGAATTGGACAGGTCAACATTAGGATTTTAATTACTTACTCCTGCTCTAAATTTTTGAATATGAGCAATTTTATGTGCAATTTTGTTTGGTCTTTGATTCAACAGAAATCTTCTTGGTGAAGACTTGGGCCCCTTGAACTCGAAGGAGCTTGAGCAGCTTGAGCGTCAACTAGAGTCATCCTTGAAACATGTCCGCTCCACCAAGGTAACTGAACTGGATTTTACATGTATGTAAATTTACATCATCCAAACCCCTTTCCCCTCTTCCCTTTTTCTCTCCTTTGCAATTTCAAGAGGTAGGTTTTTGATGGAGAACATTCTTCCAAGTTTTGGAAGAATGTCTATTCTATATGTAAATTTAGGAAGAAAGATTTAATTTTTTTTATGATAATAGGAGGCATAAAGTTGCATTTGATCTTTCTATTTAAGTCTGTTGTGCTTGCTTGCAAGTTTGGCTTGAGGCTTATGCAATTTGGATCTTTTCCAAGCTAATTATTCTCAATATGTTCATCAAGCTTTTTCAGCTTTATTATTATGTTCCAATCTTAGATTCCATGAGTTCAGTTCATATCAGGTTTTTTCTAACAGGTTATCCCCTCTTGTAGTTGCACTTTGGTACAAAGTTTCATCTTTCTTTAGAAGAATCACTTTCATCAGTAATCTATTTAAATTACAATCTATTAAACTTTTTGCCTTTAGAACTACTGATATGATTACCTCTGCTTAAAAATCTGAAGGGAGGGTTAATAGTTTTGTGTATGTGGTAGCTCATTAACAAGTCACAACAGAAGATGTTAGAAGTAGCTAGAGAAATTAAGAGAACGTACAATTTAATGAGTAATGACATCTTAGTTGAAATTCCAATTCTTTTTATCCTTTTTGCTCACCCAAAAGTTCAAATTTATTGATAGTTCAAAATAAATATATGTGAAAGCAGGCTATTCCTTGATTTGGTCAGTTTGACAACTTTTTTTCTTTTTTGTGGGGTTTCTTTTTCCAATTTTGTAGTATTTGATGGTAGTACACCCTTGGCTGCCTCTTTACCATCTATTGCAAATTGTAAAAAACCAAGCTCGGATCCTCATACTTCTTATTAGGTTTTGTTTTTTATATTTGAGATTATCGGTGATTGAATCTTGGGTAGTAGAACTAAAAATTCAGCACTCTGCCATCATATCACACAATTGTTGGCTTCTTATTAGTTATTGCATTGATATATTAATTTAGATAATAATAATAATAATAGATGGATCGATTAGTAGTTTTAACATGAGCATGAAATTTGGCAGCTAGTTATATCAAATAATGGATGCAAAATCATAACTCAAGCATTCTGTTAAATAAAGCTGTTAAAAGATAGCATATACTCCCTCTGTCACCTTTTTTTGTTCATCAAATTTTTTTTTTTGGGGGGGGGGGGGATATTTCAAAATTATGTCATTTTTTCTTTTTTTTTTTTATCATCTAAAACTCTTACTTTTTATTTTAAAATTATTTTTATAATTTTTTTTTCTTTTTAACATTAAAAGTCATGGAACTTTAATTTTATAAAAAAATTTTAATTTTAATTCTAATGTTAAATACATTAAAATCAAAGTTTTTTTCTTAAACTCCGTAAAAATTAATACCACCCAAACAATTTGGACGGAAGGAGTAGTATATACTAGTTTTTTTCCATGAAAAAGTTAATCATACCTTGTGCAACATTATGAAGTACTCTTATGGTATGATTAGCTTTTCATTGCATTTCTTTCTTCACCTTTCATGTTCTAACATTTATTTTAATTCAATCTCCTTTACAGACCCAATATATGCTTGACCAGCTTTCTGATCTTCAGAATAAGGTATCTGAATTTTGGAAAAAAACACACTGCTAAAGTTTTTTGTGCTTCTAATATACTAACAGGCTAACCGGCTTTAAATGCAGGAACAAATGCTGATGGAAGCTAACAGAGCTTTGTCAATGAAGGTAAAACCACATCTTAAATTATAAAAATAACAGCTTGTTCATGAACTTTTGACTATGATATGCTAGCTTGAATGATCATAACTCAACTTCAGTGGCATAGCTTACAAAATCAAATGAGTATAGCTACTAGGGCTTTAAACAAACTTGAACTGAAGCTCCAGAGTACAAAGTTGGGCCTAATTTTTAAGTAAGATTCAGTTGATGTTCACATAAATTGTAAAGCAAACAAGTATGTGACAGTAAATACTTTAAGATGAATTTGTATACTAGGGAAAGAATAAACAACACTTAACATCCGTACGTAAGCGGATGGAAAAGTTGCTTGCTGACGTGGCTTTTGCGGTGAGTATATCCACCTTCATTTAATTTGAGAGAGTTATACAAATTTAAATCTGAACTAGATGAACTTCAGTAATATAATATACAAGTAACCATAGGCAAGCATTTATAGGAGTCAATCGCAAGCTGATATCAAGCAGCTTGGATCATTTTAATTTCTTGCCTCCTTATGGGACTAACAAACCTTCAAATCACCCTTGCTCCGGGAAATTTCTAGTTTATATACTTGAATTTCCATAAGATCCAAAAAGAATGTGAAATTGGAGATAATATGAAAAACTGATGAGTCTGAAACTTTCTTCAGATCTAAGTTCTTCTGGCCTTCTGCCCTTCCCGGTAGTATTCTCATATATTTGCCATTATTTTCAGCTGCATACTTTTTTTTTTGGCAGCTTGATGAAATCAGTGCAAGAAACCAGTTTCGAGCATCATGGGAGGGTGGCGAGCAAAGTGTATCATTCAATAACCAGCAGGCTCAATCTCAGGAGTTATTTCAGCCATTGGAATGCAATCCAACTTTGCAGATAGGGTAGGCTTTCAACTCCTTAATTCTTTTAACCTTCTAATATCTAGATTACTATCATAATTACTTACTACCTTGTCTATCCCAATTCTTCATCTCTTTAATTTAATTCCTGCTGCAGGTATAATCCTGTTGCTTCAGACCAGATAGCGGCTACGTCTCATGCTCAGCAAGTCAATGGCTTTATCCCAGGATGGATGCTCTAAATTTTGCTTGCAAAATATGGTTAATGCTCATAAGCTAATATCTTACCTACTAGATAAATGCTTCTTGATGTTGGAAGTTTGTAAATGGTTTCAAGAGCATATTGCATAACCTGCATTGACATAAAAACAGCAGCGACTGAATTTGGTAAGACTATGAAACCTTGAGCCTCAGACAAAATGCATGTGATCAGTTTTATATATATGATATTGAAAGACTTGACAAAGACTTTATATATTTATGTTCCTTCCTTGCCTTTGATCTTCCTTTATATAAATATTTCTGAGGTCATTGGTTAAGCACTTAGTACTCTGGTATTGATGTCTTGCCAGATTTGTTGGGCACTGTTATTCTTGCCAGCATTTTTTAGGTGATAGATTAAAAGTTATTATTCCAAGGCATATGGTTGCTTACCGTGTTTTTTTGGCTAGTGGTTGCTTACTTTGACATGTTAGAAATCGTGGGATTGGTTGAGTTAGTAAAGTTCAAATCTTTTGTTATATAAGGCCTAAGTTGAGATTTACTGATCTGTAAATTAAATGTAAATCCTGCCGACTACCTGATTCGAAATGGAGAAGCCTTCTCTCACCTTAAACTTTTTCGACCAAAAAAAAAAAAAACTTTCTTAGACATCCATTTTTAGATAGCAAAATGCATGATCCATAATTAAGAAAGTGACTAGCTATTGGCTAGGAGGATGGAGATGAGCTGCCGTAGATGGTTCTTTACATGTATTATCTAATCATTCTGGTGCATTATAGTTCCTTGATTAGGAACATCACCACTTTGTGATGAATTTGATGAGCTCTAGAAAAATGTTTTAGAAAGCAGTTTCTCATTCTCTAGTTTCAAAGACTGTAAACTTTCAAGACTACAACACCACAAACTCGAACTTAATATCTCTACTCAAACCTTTATTTCCAAATAAACAATTGTATCCCCCCAGTCCAAGCCGGGCCAAATCTGCCTCCTTCCATAGAGCATGCAATGCAGCCGCTAGCTCTGTCTCCTAAAGCAAGATCCCATATGCATTCATGTTACAAAAGATGTCCGCTTTTCCATTGATAATTGGACTTCATTTTTTTTTAATATATTCAAAGTTGATAAAACTATAAGCATTCATATTATTGTCCTAATTTCTTTTTATAAGTGTATTTTATGATATATACTTACTTTTAATATCTGTCAAAGGTTTTATATGAGATTTAATTCCATTCAGATTTCCAAAAAAAATACCACCTAATCTTACTCCCCGTTTTGGACATCATTTGAACACGTGCTTTGCGACCCTTTGAATTATTTTGTGATCCTAAGAATGGTTGTTACTTTCCAACAATTAATACAAATTTGGATATTCTAAAGAAAATTTTAATAAAAAAATGATTTGTTATCGAATTAACTAAAAAGTTGTCTCACTTAACAAATTTGATTCATTTGGTAATTTTAATCACTACACATAATATAATAAAAATAATATAAAAAGTTACACGAAAATGATATGATTTCAAAATTTTACTAAAAATTATACATAAATTTTAAAAATTAAAAAAAATTGTTTAATTTTTTGTATGCCAACACAAATTATAATATGATAATTTTCATAGTTAACACGAAATAAATAAATATAGATACACTAATTGTCAAATTTATTTATTACACCATACAAAAATTTATGTTCCTCACAAGAAAAAAATTTATTTTCAAATAAAAAATTATATATAGGTTACAATACTGGTAAAGCGTTTTGAAAATTAGTAAGGAGGCATTTGGTTATGAAAAAAGTAAGATTCTTGGTAGGAATCTTATTTTTATTAATTTGATTCATTAATTTAGTTCACAGAATGTGATTGTTGAGATTTTTTTAAGATTTTTAACAATACCAAAAAAAGAGAAAGTAGAAAAAAAAAAACTCTCTCCTTAGTTTTTTTAGGTTCTAAAAGAAAAGTGAAAATTTTATCTCATTTACCATCACTTAATTGTATTTTCATATTATATTATCTTTTTTAGTTTCTTAAAATTACAAAATAAATGTGATTTTTAGTATTCATAATTTCAACAAATACTGTATTTTTAAGATAAAAATATAGTGGATATTGAAATTATTTTTTAAAATTTTAAAATTTTAACAAAAACCACATTTTTAAGATAAAAAAATATAATAAATGTTGAAACTTTATTTTCAAAATTTTAAAATTTTAACAAATATTGTTTTTTAAGATAAAAATATAGTGGATGCTAAAATTTTATTTTTAAAATTATGAAATTTTAACAAAGATTAAGATAAGAAATATAGTGGATATAGAAACTTTATTTTTTAAATTGTTAAATTTTAACAAGTACAACATTTTTAAAGAAAAAAATGTATCGGATGTTAAAACTATATTTTTGAAAATTTGAAATTTTAACATAGATTATGTTTTTAAAATAAATATATATATATATAGTGGATGTTGAAATTTTATTTTCAAAATTCTAAAATTTTAACAAAGATATGTTTTTTAAATAAAAAATATAGTAAATGTTGAAACTTTATTTTTCAAATTTTAGAATTTTAATAAAGACCATGCTTTTAAGATAAAAAAGGTAATGGATATTGAAACTTTTGTTTTCAAAATTATTAAATTTTAACAAAAAATCACATTTTTAATATAAGGAAACATAATGAATGTTGAAACTATATATTTTCAAAATTCTAAAAATTTAACAAAGATCATGTTTTTAAGATAAAAAAAATAATGAATGTTGAAATTATATTTTCAAAATTTTGAAATTTTAATGAAGATCAGGTTTTTAAAATAATAAATATAATGGATATTGAAACAAGAAACATAGTGGATATTGATATTTTATTTTTGAAATTCTAAAATTTTTACAAAGCTTTTTTAAGATAAAATACATAGTGGATGCTGAAATTTTATTTTTGAAATTCTAAAATTAAAAAAAAAAAAACTGCATTTTTAAGATAAAAAACGTAATTGATGTTGAAATTTTATTTTTTAAAATTTGAAATTTTAACAAAGACCCCGTTTTTAAAATAAAAAAGTTTTAATATTTAATGACAAATGTTTTTATATTACTATTTTAATTATAAATATAAATTAATAATATCTATGATCTAATAATAAATATTTCAATATAAATTTATTACTATTTTAATAGTATAAATATTTTAAACATTTTTAATACTAAATATTACTATTTAAATCATTTATGTTAAGTAAATTAATATTTTAATAACAATACTATGTTAAATATTTTAAAAATAAATAGTAATTTTCAAGTATTTAATATTAATATAATATTTTTAATATGAAATATTATTATTAAACTATTACTATTTAAAATAATATTAAAATTTTCATACTTTTAATATTTCAAAAATAAATATTTTTAATATTTTTAATATTTTAATAGTTATATCAATATTTATATATACTTGAAAAAAGAGTAGATTTCCAAAAGAAAATCAAATAACATAAAATATTTTTCATTAAATCATAAAAAACATTTTTATTAAATTATCCAAATAATAAAAAATTTTCTATTTTTCATAAAATATTTTTTAGAAATCAAATTTCACAAAACAAATAGACCTTTAATAATATTATTTATGCTTGCAGTTTAGCTTAAAGTTAAATTTGATGTAAAACTCACAAGACAAAGGAAGGCTAGTAATGAAACATTGAAAATTTGAAATGCAATTTTCAACCCACCTATTCTTACCATCAATTTTACCCATGTTATCAATAAAATTTTGACAAACTTTCAAAATTTCCCTACATAGTAAGTATGCTTTTTGAACGGAAAAAACAAAAAAAAAAGTAAGTAATTAATTACTATATAAAGTAACTATAGGAAAACTAGCTTAGTGATCTATGATCCATCACCATCTTCTCATCAACTATTCAATTTCTTGTAAAGAAAGCAAATTAATTCTATATATAAATGAAACTTCAAATAGGTACATCATGCTTGATTTGGCCCATCATCATGAATATTTTTCTTATTCTTTTTTTTTTTAATTTGAGTATTTTTTTCTTCTTTTGTATAACTTTATTGGTAGCATATAATATTAGGGGTTGCCACCATGGATGTGGAATAATTTTATTTTTTTAAATCAAAAGTAATAATTTTTTATTATAAAATAGTATAGGCTATCAAGTATTAATATGGAACACCTTTGATAATAATAATTATTAGATAATTGCTCACATTTCGCTGGGAAAGCATAATTAAGATATAATTGTTACATATAACTGCTTTGAAAGAATTATAATATTATGGGTTTAAGATTCAACAATGTAGAGAAGAAAAGAAATAATTTACCTATTTATGCCGTTCAAAGCATTTAAATATTTATATTAGTTAATTTTAATGATGATGAGATATCAAATTAATTTATTAAAAAATAGTTCACTTGTCATCTTGATTGGATTACAAAAAAATAGTTAAGGCTTCAAAGTATTCCAATATGAAGAATAAAAAAGTTGCTAACTTAGAACATTAGTTGCTGCAAAAAGTAATTTTGATCTCTGAAATGAAAGCTAGATTGAAGTCTAAAGTTTAACTTAGGGTCTAATAGACTATTGTACTACTGATCGTCCATTTAGTTCTCACCACTGCCGCACGCCAATTGCGTTCCCCACCCCTCATATTAGACCCAGTGATTTATATTTTATATTGTATAAAATATTAAAATTTATATATTTATATTATGTTTTATATAAAAATTATTGTTATAATGAATTTTTATCTAAAGACTCAATCGATAAATGTAAAGATCAAGAAATCGCCACCAATTTTTTTTGTTAAGATGTGATTGGCTACCGATCTTATTTTTTGTTTACGAATTTAAAGTTAGGTTCAAGAATACAGTTATGCATAAGAAAAGTTATAGCACCATCATAATGTCCATTTGAAAATGATATCAAGTAATTTTATATAATCCTAAAATGGTCTTATTAAAATAGTCTTTTACTTTCTTTTTTCATATTTTCTTATTATCAAAAATTTTTTAAGTTATTTTCAACACTTTTGGTATAACTTAATATTTTCTTATTTTAAGAGTATTTAAAGAAATCATTTATTTTTTTGAAAAGATTTCGTTGTTAGATTTATTTTAATATATATTTTTAAGTAAATCATAATATTTTTATACCAA